AGGAGGAACAAGCTACAACTTGGTTTTACAGTGAAAATTGCAGGACTATCAAACCGACACTAGGAAACAGCCTGAGAAACCAGAGTAAGTGTTTCCTCTGCAACCCTTTCCCTTTGTGCTGGATGAACGAACGTCTCTCCACATGCTAATTTTTGAGATATAATTGTGTTTGAAAGCCGTCCTTCATCTAGGTTGAAGGGAACACAAGGTTTCTTGACAGTTGCAAACTCTGCTACATACATATATATGGGGAGGCACAAGCTCCAACTCGGTTTTACAGTGAAAACTGAAGGAACTTCAAACCGGCAATAGGAAACACACTGAGAAACCAAAGTAAGTGTTTCTCCTGCCACCCGTTCTCTCTGTGCTCGATGAACGAACGTTTCTCCACATGATCGTTTCTGAGAGATAAGTGTGTGTGAAAGCCGTCCTTCACCTAGGTTGAAGGGAACACAAAGATTCTTTTGAGATGCAAATTCCACTGTATATATATATATGGGGATGTACAAGCCCGAACTTAGTTTTAAAATGAAAACTGAAGTAACTTCATACCGGAAATAGGAAACAGACTGAGAAGCCAAAGTAAGTGTTTCTCCTGCAACCCGTTCCCATTGTGCTGGATGAACGAACGTCTCTCCACATGATAAGGTCTGAGAGATAAGTGTGTGTGAAAGCCGTCCTTCACCTAGCTTGAAGGGAACACAAAGTTTCTTTTCAGTTGCAAACTCCGCTACATACGTATACATGGGGAGGTACACGCTACAACTTGGTTTTACAGTGAAAATTGCAGGAACTTCAAACCGGCACTAGGAAACAGACTGAGAAACCAGAGTAAGCGTTTCTCCTGCAAATCGTTCCCTTTGTGCTGGATGAACGAACGTCTCTCCACATGCTATGCAATGAGAGATAAGTGTGTGTGAAAGCCATCCTTCAAAAAGCCTGAAGTGAACACAAAATTTATTTTGAGTTGGAACTCCACTACTTAAATATATATGGGGAGTTACAAGCACCAACTGGGTTTTACAGTGTAAACTCCAGAAATTTGAAACTGGAACTAGGAAACAGACTGAGGAACCAGAGTAAGTGTTTCTCCTGTAACCCTTTCTCTTTGTGCTGGATGAACGAAGGTCTCTCCACATGCTCAGTAATGAGAGATAATTGTGTGTGAAAGCCGTCCTTCACCTATCTTAAATGGAACACAATGATTCTTTTCAGTTGCAAACACTGCTACATACATATATATGGGGAGGTACAAGCTCAAACTCGGTTTTAGAGTGAAAACGGCAGTAAGTACAAACCGGCACTGGGAAACAAACTAAGAAACCAGAGTAAGTTTTTCTCCTGCAACCCGTTCCATTTGTGCTGGATGAACGAATATCTCTGTACATGCTAAGCAATGAGTGATAAGTGTGTGTGAAAGCCATCCTTCACCAAGTTTGAAGGGGACACAAATTTCTTTTCAGTTGCAAACTCCACTAACATACATATATATGTTGAGGTACAAGCTCCAAATCGGTTTTACAGTGAAAACTGTTGGAACTTAAAACCGGCACTAGGAAGCATACTGAGAATCCAGAATAAATGTTTGTCCTGCAATGCGTTCCCTTTGTGCTGGATGAGCGAACGTCTCTCCACATGCTCAGTTCTGAGAAATAAATGTGTGTTAAAACCGTCCTTCACCTAGCTTGAAGGGAACACAAAGTTTCTTTTCAGTTGCCAACTCCACTCCATACATATATATGGGGAGGTACAAGCTCCAACTCGGTTTTACAGTGAAAACGGCAGGCACTTCAAACCGGCACTAGGAAACAGACTGAGAAACCAGAGTAAGTGTTTCTCCTGCAACCCGTTCCCTTTCTGCTGGATGAACGATCATCTCTCCACTTTCTCATTTCTGAGATATAAATGTGTGTTAAAGCCGTCCTTTAATTAGCTTGAAGGAAACACAAAGTCTGTTTTGTGTTGCAAACTCCACTGCATACATATATATGGGGAGGTACTAGCACCAACTTGGTTTTTCAGGGAAAACTGCAGTAACTTGGAATCGGAACTTGGAAAAAGACTGAGAAACCAGAGTAAGTGTTTCTCCTGCAACCCGTTCCCTTTGTGCTGGTGAACGAAAGTCTCTCTACATGCTCAATTCTGGGAGATAAGTGTGTGTGAAAACCGTCAATCACCTAGCTTGAATGGAACACAAAGTTTCTTTCCAGTTGCAAACTCCACCACATACATATATATGGGGAAGTGCAATCTCCAACTCGGTTTAACAGTGAAAAGTGCCGGAATTTCAAACCGACACTAGGAAACAGAGTAAGAAACCAGAGTAAGTGTTTCTCTTGCATCCCGTTCCATTTGTGCTTGATGAACGAACCCCTCTCTACGTGCTAAGCAATGAGAGATAATTGTGTTTGAAAGCCATCCTTCACCAAGCTTGAAGGGAACACAAATTTCTTTTCAGTTGCAAACTCCACTCCATACATATATATGGGGAGGTAGAAGCTCCAACTCGGTTTTACAGTGAAAACTGAAGGAACTTCAAACCGGCACTAAGAAATAGACTGAGAAACCAGAGAAAATGTTTCACCCACAACCCTTTCCGTTTGTGTTGGACGAACGAACGTCTCTCCACATGCTCAGTTCTGAGAGATAAGTGTGTGTGAAATCCGTCCTTCACCTAGCTTGGTTGGAACACAATGTTTCTTTTCAGTTTCATACACTGCTTCATACATATATATGGGGAGGTACAAGCTCCAACTTGGTTTTACAGTGAAAACTGAAGGAACTTCAAACCGGCACTAAGAAACAGACTGAGAAACCTGAGTAAGTGTTTCTCCTGTCACCCGTTCCCTTTGTGCTGGATAACGAACCTCTCTCCACATGCTCAGTTCTGAGAGTTAATTGTGTGTGAAAGCCGTCCTTCAACTAGCTTTTTTGGAGCCCAACATTTCCTTTCAAATGCAAACCCAACTACATAGGTATATATGGGTATTTATAAGCTGCAACGTTGTGTTATAGTGAAAACTGCTTGAACATCAAAGTGGCACTAGGAAACAGATTGAGCAACCAGAGTATTGTTTATCCTTCATCCGTTCCCTTTGTGCTAGATGACCGAACGTCTCTCCACATGCTCAGTTCTCAGAGATAAGTGTGTGTGGAAGCCGTCCTTCACCTAGCTTGTTGGGAACAGAGAGTTTCGTGTCAGTTGCAAAGTCCACTTCATAAATATATACAGGTTGGTTCAAGCTCCAACGCGGTTTTATAGTGAAAACTGCTGGAACTTCAAACCCTCACTAGGAAACAGTCTGAGAAACCAGAGCAATTGTTTCACCTTCACCCCGTTCCCTTTGTGCAGAAAAATGAACGTCTCTCTACATT